CTACTTGGAATTTTTCGCAGGAAAAAATTGTAATTTACTTGTGCACATTCAGATAAGATAAAAGAACCATGGTCAAATATATCGATATCAAGAAGCCAATACACACAAGAGAGAAAAAGCGGGTTGTTTTTGGGTTTTATATCCAAAAAAGTCCAAAATCTAAGGTAGTCTTCAACAATACACTCTGATCATACTTTCAAGTGCGTCGAACATAGATAACCAGTTTTAAAGGCTGCTACACAAGGGAAGAGGCGAATTCGAAAGATTCCATATCCCTATAAGAACAATGGGAATCCTTGAAACCCAAGCAGCACGATGGCAATCCCTGGAAAACGATGCATTCTATAGGAAACACATAAGTTTTAATGACGAATCCTATGGAAGTGTTATAAGTCCTCAATCCCTATCATGTAAGAGTATTCATAAGTTATCATCGCCTATGATATGGGGTACCCATAATTCCACAAGACCTATCCTATGGAGGTACACATAAGTCCTCAAAGCCTATATTATTGGTTACCCATCAGTGCTCTAGGGAAGTTCTATGAATGTACTCATAAGTAATGATCGCCTACCCTATAGAGTATCCACAAGTCCTTCAGGCCTATCCTGTGACGGATATCCATAAATCCTCAGGACCTGTCCTATGGGAATACAGTAATTCCTCAATGGCTATCGTATGCGGGTACTCATAAGTCTTCAAAGCATATCTTATAGGCATACTCATAAGTCCCGAAGGGCTTTCTTATGGAGATAACCATATGTCTTCATTGCCTATCCTATGGATGTACTCATAAGTCCTCAAAGCTGTCCTATAGGGTATCTATAAGTAGATTTGTAACAGCTTCGGTTCAATTCGCTGAGCTGATGCTGTCTACCATCTCTTCGACTGAGCTCTTCCGAGCTGTGGAACTGGAGCTGTGATGCACCTAAAATTCAATCCATGTTTGATTAAAGAGGAATAATAGTTGAGCCCAATTTGTCAAGGGCAATGGTCTGGAAATAATACTAATTGTGAAGTAAAACCACTTCATAACGTTCCTCAATTACGTCGAGCTGAAAAGAAAAGTTCATTTTTACTTCTTAACGGAAAAATCCAAATACACGATTGCTAGGTGATCCCTAAACCAGTATTTCATACTACATTAAATTCCAGTTAGTGAATGACGGACGGGTGGCGTCCGTATAACAGTTACGTGCCCTGTGCCTAAAAGCTCTTGAAAACCTACGACGACAAAGGCTAGATATTTCTTGAACAATTAGTGGTACCCAAGATTTCTCCACGAAAGAGTCTTTGAAGAGGAATCAGAACTATCGTAAGACAGCGCTTGAAAAGTTAACTGTATCAAACATCAATTCGACATATGGACTAATGGGTAGCACTATAAGATAAGGCATAAGGACTTACGAATACCATCATAGAACAGATCATACAGACTTATTGGTACTATTATAGGAAACACCATGAGAACCTATGCATACTATCATAAGATAGGTCACAAGGATTTGTGGGTTCTCTTATAGGATAAGCCATGAGGATTTCTGGACTTCCCTATAGGATAGACTATACAGACTTATTGATATCACTATATGAAAGACTATGAGGACTTATTGGTACCAGCATAGGATAGACTATACAGACTTATTGATATCACTATATGAAAGACTATGAGGACTTATTGGTACCAGCATAGGATAGACCCTGAGGACTGATGGGTATTTCCATACGATAGCCCTTGAGGACCTATTGATTCAGTCGTATGGTAGGCCTTCATGAGCTTTAAGTGTATCCCAATGAGTAGCTGTAGGAAGCTATGAGGTAGCTCATATGAAAAGAAGTGGTGATGGTAAGTTGAAATTAATCTAATATCAAACAAAAAGACTGAGAAAAAACCTTGAAAACTCATAATAGCCCGAAAAAATCGGAATATCCAACAAAATGCGAAGAAATCCGAAATAATCCCAAAATCCCAAATCCGCTCTTTTCCCCTTGAATGCAACTCTATGCTGGATACGTCGCATTATTGAGTAGAAATGAGAATACTGTGTGTATATCTTGTAGTTTTCTATGGATTTATCGTCGATAAAAACAGACTAGTGTATACGCATGATGAGCTTTCGAATAAATCTATCATTAGTTTGGTAATAAAAACCCTTGTATCTAACAAATAAAATACTATTCTGAAAAATCTTTTTAACAGAAAACGTTGATTGATTACATTTTCAAATAACACTTATTCTTATTTCTTATATGCTGTTTTATGATAAAATATGTTGTTTCTTTCTCTATAAATTTTTATCTAATTTTCAGATTATTGTATTGTAGCGCCCACAGTTTCTTCTTCTCGTCAGTAACTACAAGTAACGCAGCGCAAGCACTGCCAACCCTCTACTAAAAGGATGAGTCGCATCTAGGCATGCACAAAACGCAAACTCAAACCCAAACCGTTTGAGAATTTGGGTTTGGATTTGAGTATTGAGTTTGGACTTTGTGTATGTTTAGTTTGTATAATATACAGAAGTAGGTATTATCTAGGGGTACGCAAGCTCAACTCAAGCTCACAAATAATGAGCCGTTGAAAACGCTCACTGAGACGAACTGAACTGTTCGAACAGTTCATTTGAGCGAACTGACCTTTCTCAAACAGCTCATCTCACATGAGCTGAACTGTTAGAATAGTTCATTTGAGCGAACCGAGTTTTTTCAACAGCTCATTTCATATGAGCCGAACTCTTCGAACAGCTCATTCGAACGAACCTAACTATTTCTAGGGGTACTCATAGGTTCTCGAGGGCTACCCCATAGGGGTGCCCCTAGGTCTTCAAGTCTTATTACTGGAGGATACCCTTGGGCCCTCAAGTCCTATTATTGGGGGTACCCTTTGGCCCTCAAGTCCTGTTATTGGGAATGCCCTTGGATCTTCAAGTCCTATTATTGGGGGATACTCTTGGGTCCTCAAGTCTTGTTATTGGGGGATAGCCTTGGGTCCTCAAGAGGGGTACGCAAGTTCAGCTCACGAGCTCCGTTCAAATGAGCGAAAGAACTGTTCGAACAGCTCATTTGAACGAGCCGAACTTTTGAAACAGCTCATATCACATGAGCTGAACTGTTATAGCAGCTCATTTGAGCGAACCGAACTTTTGAAACAGCTCATATGATATGAGCTGAACTTTTACAACAGCTCATTCGAACGAACTGAACTTTTTGTAGGGGTACCCATAGATCCTCAAGGGCTACCTATAGGCCTTCAAAGGCTGCCCTATAGAGGATTCATAGGTCCTCAAAGGCTACCCTATACGGATACCCATAGGTCATCAAGAGCAACACTATAGGGGTACTCATAGGTCCTCAAGGACTACCTATAGGGGTAGTCATAGGTCCTCACGAGGTGCTCATAGGTTCTCAAGGTCTACCTATAGGAGTAGTCATAGGTCCTCACGGACTACCCTATACGGGTACTCAGAGATCCTCAAGGGCTACCCTATAGGAGTATCAATAAGTCCCCAAGGGTTAACATACAGGGACACCCGGTAGTCCGAAGGACTATGGGTGTGGGTGTGGGTGTGGGTGTTCCTTTTGTCTTTAATCACATAAACCCACATCCCACACGTTCAGACTAGTACAGACCCTATTTGACCAATTGGCGAGACCAAAAGTCGAAAAAAATGAAGATTTAGACCTATTTTTATTTTTGGCATAATTTGACAATAAAGTGTTTTTATGCGCTCTGGTTGAGATATTCGTCATCAGCACATCCTAATGCATAGGACTAGATGTCTTTTCTATTCAATTTAAAAAAAAAACGTTTTGACTTGGTGCTCATACACCTGACCAGGAGGTCAGGAAGCAAAAAACTTTTTGTGAATTTGAACATTCTAAAATGTCCACAATACTCAGAACTTGATGCTAATTCCGAATATGTATGTCTTGTGGCATAGTTTTTTGGTCCGAAACTATGTCTTAATGATCCTCCTCCTTTATTGAAATTTTTTGGAAATATTTGAAGAGTTTTAGAAATTGTTGAAAAACAACAAAAATTTCTAAAGATTATGGGGTGATCTTTCGCGATTGATAGCTCTGTTTCGAAGTTATTTTGTTGTTATTCTTATTTGAGTTTTCTTTTGATTGATTGAATGATGATCTCATTGATTGAATTAAAAATTTTTATAGAAACATTGTTTAAGTGTCTTGATGACTGTTTTTTATTCATTTTCTGAAATAAGAATAGGAAAAAACCTATTTGCTTGAATCAAAAACACATAATAAATAGAAATATGGACTTTTTCGAGTAAAGTTCAAATCAGAAAAAAGTGTGTGAAGCACTCACTCGAATTTTACTTGGTGTACTCATCATTTGAAACACTGGTACTATTAAATTTTCTTTTTTTTTTGCTTATTTCTTCTAATAGGTGATTACATTTTATATGTTTTCAATCCCTTCATATTTTATATTAAAAAAGGAGGACAGCATGTGAATGTATGCATGATGAAGAGTTCTACAAATTCTATAATATCGATTTATTTTTAATAGTTGCAAATTTCACTGTCGAATATGAACAAAAAAAATTTGAGCTTTAATATCTTGTCACTATTAAAGAAGATAGTGTGAACGAAAAAAATTCTGTTCTTTGTTTTTTATTTGATCTTTTTTATCATGTACATAGGTTGTAGAGCTTTTCACCCTGCATCATTTGCACATGTTTTCTTTTTATTTATAAAAACATATGAGATGATTAAAAAAATGAAATAAAAAAAGAAAAACAGAATTTTTTGTTTATGCTATCTTTTTTGTAATGTCAAACTATGAGAGTTTAAACTTTTGTTAATATTGAGAACAAATCAATTATTATTTATTTAGTAAATAATAGATTAAAATAATAAATGAATATTTTAGATAATCTATGATAATCGAATGTTTTATTATAAATTGAATAGATTTTAATAGAATTACTTATTTCAGAAGATAAATTAAACGATAATAATAATATTATTATTATTATTATTTAGTTCGATTTTGATTAAAATAAGGACGAAAAAGATTTGTTTTATTAAGTGTAACACCAAATCCTGGTTTATATGTATCTAATGTAATCCATCCATTAATTGGTAATGGTTCATCATGAAATAATTGTCCAAATATAGGTGATATTGAATCACCATTAGGTGAAAGTAATAAAAATTCACTCATTGGTAAATTTGGAAAAGCATATTGTAAATGATACGAATATATTGATGAACCATGTGGAACAATTGGTATATCATATGCAGATGCAAGAGCTACTATACGACGACATTCTGTTAATCCACCAGCCCATGTTACATCTGGTTGAAGAATATCAACACAATAATTATCTAATAATAATTTAAATCCCCATCGTGTATATTCATGTTCACCACATGTTAATAAACATGTTGTACGATTTTCTTTTTTTATTTGACTATAACCATTATATTGATCAGGTGGTAATGCTTCTTCTAACCTATATTTATTTATATATTAAAAAGAAAAAAACAAAACAAAGAATATATATCGGCTTGAGCGGGTGACCTCAAAAATTAGTGTTTTGAGATATCATTTTTACAAACTTATTATTGTCATTTCGCAGAGTTTACTCGATAATGTATGAAAAAATTTTGCTTTTTATTAATAAGTGCTGCCGATCATATGTAGCACTTGCTCACAAAAATTTTACTAATAGATGATGAAATTTATCTATCAGGACCATATGATTAAGGTTGATTACACCTGATGAAATGTATGATAATAAACATCATTTACTTTAACCCGTAATAATACAATATGACCTTGTCTCTTCGAAGTTTTATATTTTGGAAAAGAAAACTTATGAAAAGAAAAAATTGATCATCAAAGTTAGCGTCATCGTTTTTCTCAATTGGATTTGGCCAAACTGTCGGCTAGAAAATGGCTATAAAATGTTTCTTTCAATATTAGACACATCCGTAGAAAAACTTACGAACAAACACATCACTTTCAGCTTTTCGTCTCTTTTTCGTCATCGCGTTACCTCCTATATTTTTTCCTGTAATTTTCAAGCAGATCATTTAATCGAGTTCATATTCTCATAGATTTTGGGGAAAGCAGAAACACATCTACTAAACAAAGAACAAACTTTCTCGATAACCTATTTATTGAGAAAAGTTAATAACACTGTGACCAAAACGTCATCACGTTACACTTGCCCAAGCCGATATATATATACCATTTAATATTATATGGTTGAATAAGTTCAAGTAATTTTAATGTATAAGGAACAGTTAATGACATATAACAATCCTAAAATAAAAAATAAAAAATAAATAAAATAAGATAAATAGAAATAAATAAATACAATCATTAAAGGAAAATCATCTCCAACAGAAAAACGTATATCTTTAATTCTTTGAATATTTTTAATTAATCCATGATCACCATCAGCAGGTCCATATGGTAAAGGAAATTTTGCACCTTTAAAACCTAAATTTTTAGCTGCTAATGGATTATAACATGTTGCATAACAAGGTAAACCATTTTTAGTTTTTCCACCAACTAATTTATAAACAGGTTCATTTCTTAATTTTCCCGCACAATCCCAAAGTGCTAAATCAATAGCTGATATCGCTTGAATAGTTAAACCTTTTCGACCATAATTTATTGATGAACGCCACATCATATCCCATATATATTCAATATTAAGTGGATCTTCTCCAATAAGAAAACGACG